TCATGTATAACCAAATCATATATGTGTATAACTCTTACATAAGGAGATTATGACCTGCTATATATATTCCATTAAAATCAGACTAACAAACTACATTATGGATTACTGCAGAGGTAACAAAACTTTTTTGTAGGTAAAGGTTGTGCTTAAAACTGCTGAGGGCCAAAAATGTGACTGAACTATCTCATGTCAGACATATGGCTGAAGAGGTATACTTTTTTAAAAAAGTGATATGTCAGTTTTGAACTTTCACAACATTTATCTATGTTTCAGCTCAAAGTGGTGAGACATGGTGATATCAGCTTTCAGCAGCTGGGAGGAAGACAGGTGCCAAGGGCCAGAAGAAGGTATTTGTGCATGGCTTTGAGACTACAGGTTGCTCTCCCGTGATTAAGTGTGATGTTTTTATTCTTGTCTTTAAATGGCATCATAAGGCATGGAGTTATATCTCTCTGACTCAAGGGGAGGGTTCAGATGAAATGGTGAGGTAAACTGTATGGACTCACAATATACCTAGGAGCTCCAGAACATTGATAATATTTCTTGCCTAATACCAACAATGTACCTTGTTTCAAAGATTCCCAGACATAAACATTCAACTGTAATCTGACAACTGGAAACTCAACTCCAGGATTAAACTACCCAGAATAATCAAATTAAGAGTGAAAGCTGAAATGTACCACTTTGTTTCCTGTCTTTAAATCTCTACTATATTAATAGGTTTTGCAAGTTACTGCTCTTTCTCTTGGTTATATGAAGGGAATTGGTGAACAGATAAATGCTACAACAAGCAGCAGGAGTTAAGTAGCTGCAGTAGGATATTCAGGAGACTCCAGGAATTGACAGTTTGACATATGGACTCCTGAAATTTTCTGATTGTATTAATTCACAAAACTACTACTGATAACTAAGATTTTTTTTTTTTATCACAGGAGATTTGATTACTCTATAGACATTCTTCTATATCCTATTTTTTTTGGATGAAAAGTTTCAAGTTTCAAGTTTCAAATGGTTGAAATTTGAAAGAAAATAGGTATGTCTGTTGCAAACTGAAAAGGAAGGTATATCTGAGATATCGTGATTTAGGACTCGGAATCTGAAAAAGTTGTTCCAGAACAACTAATCGAATATCACCTTTTGTCAGGCACAAGCAACCAGATCCATACGTGAAAGGTTCAAGTTGACTATTTTATTTGTTTTACCTATAGTAGAGGAATCTCCCCAGGCTGCCTTGCCTTGGGAACTAAGAGATAATATTCCATGGAACTGATTAGGCTTAAGTCTCTTGTAGTGGTGCCAAAGACTCAACGCTAATTCCCTGCTTGATTCTTCCTCCTTGCCTAGCTGGTCATTTCCCAATATCTTTAGGAAACATCAAGCCAAGAATCACCGGAGGCCTCTCAAACAGAGGCAGCATTAGAATAACTGGAGCAGATGTTGATATAGGTCTTGAAACACTTAGACAAGTAGAGTCCCAGGGTTTCAAGCACTTGAAAGTAAAGCAAAGGCATTCAATGAAGCAAAGACATGCCTGCCTTAATTAAAACAACTGGCTGCAGCCTTATTTAAGAAGCAGATCTGACCCTGAAACTATGAACCTTAAGAGTGATTGATAAATTTTACTTGGTTCTCTGAACTTCAGACTGAATCCTGACTAGTCTTCTGTCTGTTCCTGTAGAAAGTGAAGCTATTCAGGCAAGCCTTATCATCACAGAGTCTGATTTATGTTCCTTTGCTTGTCTTCTCTTGAGTAAATTGCTTAGCATTACCTAGCAATTCTGTGTGCATGTGTGTGTTTGAAACTTGAAACAGGAAGTATAGGAACCATGTTGCTGATATACAATTGGCCTGCAGCAGCTGAAAAAGGAATAATGACATCTACTGTATGCCTGCAAGCTTGTTCACATAGGAAATTAGGATGTACATTTGAGAAAAGGCCCAGTTAGCAACATTTCATAAAACAATAGCCTAGCAGGCAAATGGATAAAATTGTCAGTGGTGCAGAAGACCTCAAATCCATTTAGAGAGTCCTTCAGGCCTATCACTTCAGTAAAAGCTGAAGAACTGAAGAGAGCCCTGCAGATATAATCAATTAAATAGGAATGTATTGGATGGAGAATTTTATGGAAGGCAAAAGGGACAGATGGAGAGATAACTGTTTCCAAGAAATGAAAAGAAATATATGGGTAAATGAATAGATAGATGGCTAAGCTAAGGATATAGGTCAATTCTTACGAACCTGAGAAAAGCATTCAAGTTTGTTTCTGTTAAAAATGCTTAATTAGATTAATTAAAGAGAACAGAACTGACATAAATACTTTTTGAGCGTGAACTTAGAACATGCAATTTTCTCCATCATTTGTCCTTATTTAAAGTCTGTTACCCTGTTTCTTTCCTTCAAGAATTTAATAAAGACTATGTAGACTGTGAATGCATGCCATAATATGTGAAGCTACAGCTGCCTGTAATATGCTTTTCTGTTATTTCTAGCATAAGCAGTACAGCTTGCAGTTAGCAACTGCATTTTCAGATTAGCAGGAAAACAAAAACAAAAAAAAATCAACAAGGACAGCAAATCAAAATGTTAGGCATCAATGTGTGAGTCAATGTCAAACCTACACTATCTAGTCCACTTTGCATTCCTATTACTTTCCCTTTAAATACCTATTGTGCTCAACACACCATTTCTACTTGCTTAAAATGTGCTGAATGCTAATGCCTCATTTCTAATTGCCAAATATGTGCTTCATCTTTGAGGCCTTTCAAACACAGGATGTATCCTCAATATGCTGAAAGCAATTGCACTTTATCTGGAATGGATAAACGCAGAGAAAAGCCAGAGACAATGCAAATATATCAATTTTTAATAATCAGAGATTTGTGACAGGAATAATCAGGAAGAAAAAGAGCAAATGGACAAATGGGGAGTAGGGACACCAGCTGACAGGAACAAAAAAGAGCAAAGGACATACCACCTAAAAACAATGGGTCTATACAAAAAGAGGAAGGGCAGACATTTGGAGATGGCTCCATGGCTCCAGTTTAGCCAACCAAAGAATGGAGATGACCTGAGGCTGGAGAATAGAGCAATAGAAGAGCAGATGACCAGGTGACAAAATGAAGAGAATGAAAAGGAAACAGAAAGGATGGACAAAAGGGCATCACTGCCAAGAATTACACTTCTGCTTATGTGTCAGTTGTATCTATGGTGCCCAATTCACTCTGACATGTTGAGCTGACAAAGTTCCTACGTCTTTGAAACAGAACGCCCAAATATTGATACCAATATTTTTTTAAAAAAAAATTATTGTGGCTATTGGTGTGAATTCTTCAGGCATGGCATTAATAAAGGCTTCCTATTTTATATATATTGCACAAAAGAATAATTTTCATCCTCTCTTTATAGCCAAAACAAAACAGATTGTGGTTTATTGTCATCTCTCAGTGCTTCAACAGTTAATTCTTCTCTTCATTAAGCTTTTGGTCAGGGTCACTACTTGTTAGCTTTTCTATCCTCCACCAAAGAATACATGCACAAACATTGCAGAATAGATTCCCCCCCCCAAATCTCTTAGGAGATTTCTCTCCCAAGGAAGAGTTAGTAATTGATTCATCCATGATTATCTCTAGTTTAAAAAAAAAATCAGGGGACAAGAGAGATGACAAAGTCCAGAAGAAATTCTGGTTCTTTCTATAGGTTGCTGTGGTTTTGTTTTTGCTGCTAAGAATGTTAGTTGCACAGCTATTATTCAGCTATTATTCAGCTGGTATATAGATCCAGATGTTTTCCTTCCAGAACATGTTTCTAGTGTGACTATCTCATCAATCCAATTTTCTTTTTGCTCTTTAGGAACATGAAGTTCTTCCACCAGCTAAAGACTGTGAGTACTGAGTGCCACCATGTGAGCAATCCAAGAAACTGTGAGATGAGCAGCATATGGGTTTTAATGGCCTGACATGGCTGCTGTTCTACTCACATGCCTGTTCTAGAGTTTCACTTATTTGCAGTAGCTGCAGAATCCAATCGCAATGTAATACATGTTATACTGCCCCAGATTAATATACAGGCAATCCTTGACTCACGACCATAATTGAGCCCAAAATTTATGGTCAGTGAGAAATTTGTTAAGTGAGTTTTGCCCCATTTTATGATCTTTCTAGCCACAGTTATTAAGTGAATCATTTCAGCTGTTAAGTTAGTACCATGGTTGTTAAGTGAATCTGTTTTCCACATTGACTTTGCTTAACAGAAAAGTCGCAAAAGCTGTTAACGTGATTCTGGGACATGACTTGGATATCGCAAGGTCATGGGATCAGCTTTTGCGACCTTTCTGTTAAGCAAAGTCAATGGGGAAGCCAGATTCACTTAACAACCATGGTACTAACTTAACAGCTGAAATAAATAGGAACCAGTTGCCAAGCATGCAAATTTTGATCACATGACCATAGGGATGCTGCAACGGTTGTAAGTGTGAAAAATGGTCATAAGTCACTTTTTACAGTGCCTTTGTAACTTTGAACGGTCACTAAATGAATTGTTGTAAGTTGAGGACGACCTACATGACAGTACTATTGGTAATTAAAACACTAAAAATTCAGTTATCTGCCTTTGCACATTGCAACATTGCAACATTGCTGTTGCTTCTGCTAATTCATTCACTATCCCAGATAAGCCTACTGGAAGAAGGCAATGTTTTGGGAAGCTGTTAAGTATTATTCTGCTACAAGACTATCAGAGCTATATGATGGGTGTCCTAAATTCGCCAGTTACAGCAAAACCTGGCAAGAGATCTACTTCCATCTCCCAGTGCTTAAAAGGGAAGGAGAAGAAATAACAAGTATCAAGATCTATAGATTATTCTAGAACTTGATTGCAATATTTAATGGTTCTGAAATCAAGATATATTTAAAATTAAATACAGTGTCAAAAGATTTTTTCAATTTTCTTTCTCTATGTTCATGAAGAAAATCACACTGGCGGTTCCTGAACTGCATCTTACCTGCTTGGTTGGTGGTGATGTTCACTGAGGCATGCTGTGGTGGGAATGGGCTTTTATTAGAAACCCCATTGACAGCTTGGATCTCAAAGGTGTATGGCGTATGAGCCCACAGGTTGCTGATGAAGACGCGAGTTCCTGTAAGGCCCAGTTGTCTTGGTACAAACTCCACATTGTCATCGCAGCGGGAGCAGCTACGGCGATCTGACCGACACTTTTTGCAGACTATGTTATAGGTGACATCATCGCGACCTCCTGTATCCCGAGGTGGGTGCCATTCTAATATAATTGAAGTCTCATTGACAATAGAGATTACATTCCGAGGTCCTGAGGGAACACCTGTTAAATAACAATTTGCAGATCAAGGCTATGCAACTAAATATATGGCTGCAGTAAAATGTATAATTTAGTGGCATTTTAAAACATTTTATTTTAAAACATTGGAATATTTGATTTATTTAAGTTTTGTACAAAATATTTATTAACTATTTAAATCAATTGCAATCATTCACTTAGGAAGTGACCACATGAGTGACTGCTATATTCCTTGTGCTTTTCTAATGTGGGTCTTCTGTTGAGGATGGCTAAGATTATCCCATTTTCCAAATGATCTTCATTGTCTTCTCCATGGTATTAAATAAACATTTCACATCCCCAAATATTCCTCTCTTGAAAAACTTGATTTACTGGTAGCTTGCCCTGGTCTTCCCACACTTGCCTGACCCATTACTATCAGCAGTCATCAGGGGTGGGTTCTAAATTTTTTTACTGTAGGTGTGGCTTATTTTGTGGGCGTGGCTTGCGGGTGAGGGTACTGTGACTGGGTGGGCGTGGCCATTTTTTTTTTATTTTTAAAAACATTTTTTCTACAACCTTAAGAGGTTGCAGAAAAAAATGCTTTTAGATGCTTCTGACGATGAGGCAAGTCAGCTGGGATTGCCAGAGGCTTTTAAAGGCATTTTTTCCCCTATAACCTCTTCAGCCGAAGAGGTTGTAGAAAAAATGCTTTTAAAAGTCTCTGAAATCCCAGCTGAGCCACGCAATTGTCAGAAGCTTTTTTTTTAACTTCTAAAAGCATTTTTTCAGCCGAAGAGGTTGTAGAAAAAATGCTTTTAAAAGTAAAAAAAAAAAACCCTCTGATGAGGTGGGCGGGGTAAGCAAGCGGCGACTGGGCCGGGAACCGGTTCAGGGGCATGGCCAGCCAATGTTATTACCAGTTCTCCGAACTACTAAAAATTTTTACTACCGGTTCTTACGAACTGGTGCGAACTGGGAGCAACCCATCACTGGAAGTCATGTAGGAAGAATTTTAGTCGCGTGTTTATTTTAAAATAATATTTCATTTCTACTTAGTTTCTTCTTACTTGTAAATAGGTTTTGAAGAATTATTATCTTAAAAGAGAATGTAAGAAATTATAACAAATATATTTCATTCACAAATTCTCAATGATCACCTTAGCTAAGAAAATTGACAAGTGATGTTCCTAGGAGAGTTTTTTTTTGCTGGGCTCATTTATTTCAGTTACCTTGAAGCATCTGATATCAGGAAATAACTCATGGATTGTGTAGCATAATCATCTTCATACCCAGAAGAGCATGAATGTTGTCTTTTTCCTTGCTTGTTTGTGTCACAGTCTTGTGGTGATCTTGAGTACATTCTCTCCCCATGCAGCATGGTACTAATATAGTATCACTCACTTAAGACTTTTATCTTTGGGTGATATGAGTCAAACTAGATTACTTTTTGTTCCTTCCAAATAATTGTATCTAGCTAGAATACTAAAAACAAAAATCTATTTTCTGAAAGGCACGTACTCATACACATACATGTGTACACATACATGGACACACAAGGACACACACATGGTCACACACACACACACAAACACACACAGAGAGAGATCAACTTAATTTGAATTTGAAAGTCAATTCTTAAATTCTGCGAGAGAAGGAAAGGGAAAGGAGAAACGTGGAGTCCAAAGCTTATCTTCCTTAAAGTACTCTCCTGTAGGAGTGCCCTAAACTGTAGGATGGCTTCCACTGACGCTTGGTAAATACAATATATCTTTGTATATAAAGGTTGTAACTTTTCTATTATTTGCAGCTCTCTCTAGTGCTGAATAGAAAAATTATCTTGATTCTATTAGTTTTCATTCAGTGTGATGAAAACATTGATTGTATTCCTGTCTTTACCAAGCAGCATTTGCCAAACTGTATAGTGTCATTTCTACCAATAAAGGAGAATATTTGTAGCTCAGGGACCTTTGTGCTCTCTGAGCTTGATTGAACCACCAAGCTCAGAGAGCACCAAGGACCTCTCAGTGTCATTTCTCTTAGCAGAGAATTCTCCATGTGATCTAGGTATGGTTAAGGATAGGATCTAATATACTCTTTATCTTACTAAAAATGTTATGGAAATCTTGACATTTGCCCCCAAACCTAATCCCATTGCTTTCATTAGCTAATAGAAGAAGGAGGGAGCTATAATTTAGGAGAGCCAAGTAGAAGAACATTTCACTAATTTAAATGAAATTTAAATCTCCAGGACCAGGTGGATTATTTTAGGATAATAAGAAAGGTGACTGCATACTGAATTTAACCATGAAGTTTTGACATGAAGTTTTATCCATAATTGGGTATTGGTGTTGATAATGGGGAATGCCCATTGAGTTGTTGAGACTGTCAGTGCAAAGGACACTTGTGACTGGTTGATTAGAAATTCTGTTACTCGGGTTCCCATAAATAACTCACATTGTGCTATGAAGATTCTCATCCTTTCCGATTTTTCTCAAAATCTTTCTGGCAATCTTCCACGACGTCTCTGTAACATAGGTTGCACTCTGGAAACTGCTGCCTGTGCCAGGCCTACCAAGGGTGCGGTCTGCCTCAAATTCTTCATCTGTTGCACTAGTTGGAGCAATGCTGCTGACAAATTGTGTACTTTGTTCTCTACACCATCCTGACATCATAGAACGGTGTCCATTGTTGTTTCATCACCCGCTGCTTAACTAATGATCAGCACCTGGTAAGAGCTGGGTAAGTTTCAATGGCAATTAAGGAGGACTTGTTTGTGGCTATGTAATGACTCTCAATTTCTCTTTTTACCTGTTCCCTTGGTTCTGTCAGTCCTTCCCCTACACCAGTGGTGAAATCCAGCCAATTCTAACTGGCTCACACGAACTGGTAGCGCTGGTGGCGGGAAGCTCCGTCCACCCTCCGGGACATCATTACATCCCATTTTTTACCCTCTGTGCATATGCAAAAGAGGTGCGTGCATAGTGCATGCGTGCTCCCACATGCTCCCATTCCCAAACTGGTAGCGAAGGTAAGTGGATTTCACTGCTGCCCTACACATAGACTGGATTGCTACATCTGCATTAGGTGATTATCATTATTTAGGGCTTATATGCAACAAAAGCAAATTATTTATTTGAAGCTTGTCCTTGGTTTTTCCTCTGCTAACTCATAAGTGCTGCTTAAGTTTTATAGGAGATTTATTGCCATGCCCTAAGCAAAGCTCTGACAAGTACAAAGCAACAATCCTGATAAAAAATAAGTCGTATTTGGTTGGTTGTTCTTCATTGGTAGTACAGTGGCTCTCATCTTTCATATGCTGAAGACATGCACTTTAACATTTGAAGCAAAAAATCAGGAAAAGAAAATGAAGGTTTTGACACATGCAATTCACAATAGAGCCTTGTCTGGAAGGCAAGCACAACTTTCATTTTCTGTCCATTTTTCTCTCCCAAAAAATAGCAATAGCACTTAGATTTATATACCGCTTCATAGTGCTTTACAAACCACTCTCTAAATGGTTTACAGAGTCGGCATATTTCCCCCAACAATCTGAGTCCTCATTTTACCGACCTTGGAAGGCTGGAAGGCTGAGTCAACCCTGAAATGGTAAGGACAAATTTCAGGCAGAGTTAGCCTGAAATACTGCATTCTAACCATTTCTGTGCCATTTCTGGTGTCTTCAAACATATTTCCATCTCTGTACTGACACCACATAAACACAGACAATCTGATTTGCTTATATTTCTGTGTCAGCTGCTCCTCAACCAATCTATCTTGTAGGCATCATGCTCATGACCAGACTCCAACAACTTGGGGTTCCCCTTTTGTACTTACAACTCTCTTTATTGTTTGGATATTTTTTTATCAATTTAGTTGCTCGTTTTGCTGAAATATATGTTAATTGATGACTATCATTAAATTTTGATTAAGTACATTTAATTGATTTGTTTTTATACTTTAACTATAATTCCCTTTTTATCTGTATTAGTCAATACTTGAAGCAAGTTCTGGGTGGAGGTATATCTTATTTATTCATTCAATTTATATGCCACCTGCCTTGTCTGGAGTTACTTTTGCCAGATTTTAAGTAATTAAAAGCTGGAAAGCTCTTATTGATACGTTAATGTGTAAAACTGAAAGAATGGATATTTTGTGAAGTCTTAGAAAGGTCTCCTTTACGATCTATTTTCTATGTAGTTACTATGAGCAACAGGGACACCAGAGTTCAGACTATTTACCTCATATCCATAGGAAGTATCAATCTATGAATAATGAAGCCCTTTACAAGGTAAGAATTTAGTTCAACAGTGAATTTCTACAGAAGCAACAGGATAAAAAGTCAATTAACTGAAGTTTAATAGCCACAGAATTCCAGTGTGGACCATACTGAAAAGAATAACTAAAGACACATGTACATGTGAAAACTAAACCAGCAATTGTGCCCAGAAGAAAGATCTCAAAGCCAATTAATAACAAAACAGATCAACTCAACACTGGTCAAATCATAAAGTAAACAGCATATGGGCCACGTTCTGTTAAAAAAGAGCACTGGTTGATAACTGGATTCAAGCTAGAATATACAATATTTAGTACTGAATTTTTCAAAATCAAAACTGAAGCCAAATGTTTCTTTTCTGCTATTATTGACATAGAAAAATGACCATAGTTTAAATATACCTTAAACAAGAATGTTTTAAAATAATTTTACTAACAAGCATTCATCTGGCATTAAACAGATATATGTCCTTAAATTAACTATCTACAAGTTCACTGTATTTTAGTGCAAATATATCAAACTATATTTCATTATTTCATCTGATAATGATAACAGCAATGATCTGATCAACACAGAGGTTCAAGATTTTCAAGACAATTGGCGAAAAATGATTTATAGCTTTCACCCAGAAATTGTTGATTTTACAAAAGTCATTCAAGTGAGGATTAAAACAACACCACCACTTCTTTACTTTCTTTGAATTACAAATTACAATTCTTCAAAGAAATCCCCTCTAGTGATACTATTTACTCCTATAGAAAAAAAA